TTTCTTATGAAGCAAGCCGATGCGTGTTCGCACACCTCCCATGTACTATGGAGCATCCTGCATGGCGGTGGAGTTCCTTGTAACAAGAAGATAATTTTGCAGAAAACCAAAATAACTGCATAGGTAGCGCTATGTGTTCTCTGGAGATTAAAACGCAAAACAAAGCAGAATCACTCATTTTTGTTGTTCTACGAGTATAGACTTAATAATGACCTGCTTTTCCTGAGTGACGGTCTACACCAGGTTCACCTTCAATTCCTCCCAAGTACTTTGTTTTAATTGCCAGAAGATGTGTGTACTTGCCAGAGAGAATGACAGAGACAGAGAGAGTGACAGAGACAGAGAGAATGACAGAGACAGAGAGAGTGACAGAGACAGAGAGAATGACAGAGACAGAGAGAGTGAAAAAGCGGCCCTGCAGAGGGGCGTGGTCACACCACAGTCCTTTTCCTTCACTTCTTCATCCCATCAGGATTTTGGACACACTTATGTGTGCATCATGTTTTTCAAGCCTCCAGGGCCAAGATTTGAACCATGGGGGAACCAGCAGTTAGTGTAATGGCTATGTCGCTGGACTCCCACGTAGTCAACCGCGGTTCGCGTCCCGGACCCGGTGGCTTAAAACTCATGCCGGGCGCGTGTGCGTGCGTGCCCAAGATCCTGAGAGGAGAATAGAGAAGGGATTGCGGCGTGACCATCCCCTCTGGGGGGTGATTTCTCGCTTTCTGTCTCTGTGTCTCTCTCTGTCTGTCTGGCGAGCGCACGCGCCCTATAGCGAAAACCTCTCCAAAAAAAAAAAAAAGATTTGAACCATGGCATCCATCTGGGATCCAGTTTCCTATGCGGTGCACTTAACCATGGTGCCATATGGCCAGGTACTCCCAAATGATCTCTGATTAACTCAGATAGGAGGGGAGATACGGTCAGGCTTTCAGACCTCGGAGGAAGACTGGCTTCTCTCAGTGCTGCATGGTTACACTGACAGAAAGAGGGACAGGCTGCTGCTGGGCAGTGGGCACTGAGCATGGCCGTGTGAGGCCAGGGTTTTGCTAACTGTCTGCTATGGTCACGTCACCTTCATTTGAAGATGCAGTCCAGTGTCCAGGTTAGTTAAGCGAAATGAGGAGTGAGACCCTGGACTTCAGAGTGCAACGGCCTGGGGTCTCTCCAGGCCTGGTATTTAGGAGCTCTGCTACCTGAACAAGCCTCTTGGACCCAGCTTCCTCACGTGCAGGAGACCCTCTGCTTCCCAGGTCACTGCAAGGACCTGAGGGTACATTTCGGTGTACGGGAGTGGGAACCTGGCAGAGCTGGGCTTGGGTGTCTTCCCACCCCTGAAGAGCCCCCTTGTGACCTGGGGCAAGTTATATAAACTCTAAAATTTGAACCCGTCATCCAAAAATGGCTCAATAACGTTTGCCTTGCAGGTTTGTACAAGCATCACATGAAAAATGCATGTCCGTGAAGAGCTCAGCAGGGCCCAGCTCGATACTCGGAGCTGGAGGACACTCTGTGGAGGCGGGGAGCCCAGGCCGCAGTGGGTGCGCAGCCCGTGTGTGGTCCCCGAGGAGGGCCAGTCCTAACCAGGGCTGTGGAGACCACGTGGGCCACGAAGCGGCAGTGGGGTGGGGTATTCACAGCCCTCACACAAGCACAGGTCACAGTTACAACACCGGCCCAGGTAAGAGAACCTCCAGGATGGCCTTCCCATCCCACCACCCTCCCGGAAGCCACCCGGGGAGACACTGGCCCATGAGTGTGGCTTCCTCTGTCTCCCTCGTGCCGGAAGAGCAACACGGGTCTGTGGGCTGACTGCATCTGAAAAACATCAGACTGAAATACGGAATTCAGAACCCTGTGAAGTGGTTGCATGCCCAGAAAATATTATTTGCAAAACTAAAAATTTCTTAAACAGACAAAGAGGTCTTTCAGTCCTTTGGAGGTTTACTTGCATGAGAAGATTCTGTATCTGTCATGGGACGTTTCAGAGTGCTCACTACACAGAGCAGCTCTCAGCCGGTTTTGACACGCCCACGTCTCTTCCTCTTTCTGGCTGTCGGGGGTGTGGACTGTTGGTGCCTTGCAAGCGAAGGCTGGGAAGCTCGAAGTCTGATCTGATTGCAAAGGAGTAACACACCCGGGAAATACTCCAGGAACGCTTTCTGAAATCTAAATGCCCGTGTTCCAATGGGATTTAGGGTGGGTTTGGGGGATGGCCATTTCACAATCTCTTCTCCTCCATTCTCAAGATTTTGGGCATGCACGCACATGCACCCTGCATGAGTTTTAAGCAATCAGGTCCAAGATTCAAACCTCGGTTGGCCACGTAGGAGCCCAGCGCCTTAACCAGTACACCACCTGCAGCCCTATTTTTGTTTGTTTCACCAGAGAGTGGGTGCACTCACCAGAGAAACATGTGGAGAAAGGGAGAAGGACAGGGACAGGAGGGAGCATCCCTCAATGGCCATGGTCTTACGACAACCTCTTTTTCATTTCTTCATCCTGTTGAGATTTGGGCGCACACACACACCCCAGCATGTTTTTCAAGCTGGTGGGGTTGGATGCAAACCATGGTTGGCCCTGTGGAATCCAGCTGCCTTGACCACTAGACTATGGGGCCAGCCATCTCCAATAGGATTTAGAATGGAGTCAGAAATCTTAGATGCTTTTGAACAGGCCCCTGTGTGGGAGTTTCCCTGTCCTACAAAAAGACCTGTTGACAAAGTCTGTCTGAAATGTGACGCTCCCAGATGTAAGGAGCCTTGCTTTCAGCAGACGACAGCTGACCGACAGTGTTCCCAGTCTCACCAAGCAAGCTCGCGTGCGCTGGGCACTGGGGCCGGGAAGGCCTCCTTACGCAGCAGAGCCTGAATCAGGTGGAGGCGTCTCCCAGCTCCAATGGCTCCATGGCCCACGCCTGCTGGGGAGCTCATGAAACCAACTTCAGATGAAGGCCCAGCAACGAGGGCTTTCCCAAGGACCAAGCTCACAGATTTTAAAACAGCATAACTGAAGTGAGTTCAGCTCTCTGCTTAGTGCAGTAGGCTCCAGGTCTGTTTTGCTCTGAGGGAACCTGAGAGATCAGTTCTGCCTGTGCTCTGAGAAGGAGTGGCCAGGTGAGATGGGCCTGCTGCCACCTATGGGCTATGACTATTGGTCATCATGACACTTTAATCCAAAAGAAACTAAGCACCCTCTCTGCTC